TTAGGTGGATGCCAATAAATATGAAGGAGTCAAAGCGACTTGGAGAGATCATTCCAGCCACCAGACAAGAGACACCCCAAGCCTCTGACATCAGCCTTGTGCCAAACTTCATTAAGTCAGCAAAGAGTCACATCTAACTTAAGAAGCAGGTTGGGTGATAAACATCCATATGAAAAATGCTAAATTTTGACAACAAACTAACCAACTATTATACGAAGGACCATATATAAAAAACATTTATTTTTTTTATTCAAGTGTTTTTTTTTTCTTCTTGCATCTTCATTCCACTTGAACCAGCCCAATACGAAGATACCTGATGATGATTTGATCCTGGCCAGCCTTATGATCAAAACCAATCACAACATGGGATAAGGCAAGGCCTGGATCGAAGTAATCACCTTATTGATCAGCCATGGACACCAGGGAGGGACTTGAGAGCGACATTTGGTTGCCATGGTTGAGGATTGGAATAGGAAGGTGGCAGGAAGGAAGAACTTTTGTATAGAGAAACTGATGCATAGAATGTGAAAGATTGGCCGACCTTGGTGGAAACAAATACTGTATTGGTTTTACTAAAGTGTTGCATTTGATGATATGAAATCTATTAGTAATATTAATAATTTCCGTTTTTGTTTATCAACTTTATTGTTCAAAAAATGAAGTCAAATTACATTTTATTTGGTTATATATTCACTATTCTTGCCACTTATCAGGAAGCTCTTTGATAACGTTTTTAATCTGAAAAAGTTTTCCCCATTAAAGCATTTTATAGTGATTGAAAAAGGTAATAATCAGTTAGTACAAAGTGAGTATGTTGATTTTCTATGCATAGCTTAGATGTGGCACAAGGGTGAAAGTATGGGGCACCCAGTGAGGATCAAACTTACTACTCAGTCGTAATTGTTCTAGCAAGACTATCTTGTAAACAATTGTACCACATACATGTGCTGGGGCTTACAGCCACATCACATTGAAACACTGGTTCTTGCACAATATTGAAGTTAAACAATGTCAAACCTGGTTAGTACCTACATGAGTGACCACTTGGGAATACCAGGTGCTGTAAGCTTGGATGTGCAGGTGGTGTAATGGATAATGGCTTGGAATTATTAATCGAGTTCCAATTCCAGTTGGGTTTGTTGTATTCACTTATGCAATAATACTCTTGGGAAAGGTATTAATCCACCTCTTCCCCCAACCCAGCTATGGTTTAATTAGTGAAACTTTAATCACTAAAACCATTATTATCTCCCCTGAAAAATAAAATTGCATACAAAATATTTTGATTTTGGCATTAAATAACCTATCGAGGTGTTGATATGATGCTAAACAAAAACAACCAACCAATGTTGAGATGCCCAGATGATTTTCTAGGCATAGCTTAGACGTAGCACAATGCTGAAATTGTGGAGCCCCCAGTGAGGATCAAACTCATTACTCAGTCATAATTGATCTACAAGACAAGCTTTCCAATGATTACACCATACCAAGGTGCCTCTAATCAAGAGAGTATGGTGGGTTGGGTAGAACAGGCTGTTTCAAAATCTTTTCCTGTTATCCTTGCTGTATGCAGCCTTGCACTGTCATGGAGGAGAATAACATTTTTTCTTTAATCCACTGTGTATGCTGCCACTACTGTGAAAAAACTAAGGTATATTAGTATAAGCCAAATTTATTCTTTACCCCATCATTTCTAATTCAATAAAAATGATACTTTCTTTAGTTTATACAAAAAAAAAAAAAAAGAAACAGTAAGCAATGGACATGATCCCACTGGTCCAATGAGATTTTTTATTTTTTCATCAAAATACATCAAGAATTGACAGCTTTGCTGCCTTCTTGGGAATCTTTAATTCTTTACTATAGCAGTTCAGTGCTACCATTACATTTATTCGAAAATTTGAATTGTCGCTCTAAAGTAAAAATTATTTCATTGAGGTTTTTAGATTAGATTTTTCAAACCAGTTGTAGAGTTTCTCTTCTTCCTTATATGAATGAGTCACATGTGGTTTTGTTAACTTCTGAGATTAACAGCATGTAATAAATCAAGTGCAGGTAGCAAAATAGATATTGGTGTGGCAAGTGGAACTGGCAAACTGAGTTCAACTTCCAGTCTAGTCTGTGGCATTCACTTGTGCATTAATGCCCTTGGGAAAGGCATGAATCCATCTTTTTTGTCCTCCACCAGTCATAGATTAAATAAAGGTTGAAGGACTTTAGTTTTTGTATTAATTATCATTAAATATGAAAGATGTTAGTATCTAATTGTAAGAACTAATTTTGCTTTAATAAACAAAGCAATTTTTGCTTAAAAATCTTGAACAAATTAAATTAACAAAAAACATTTGTGTTTTCTGCTTATAAACTAAATTTACACTATAATGAGAGTATCTTAAAAAATTAACAGAAAATTTTGTCACAATTTTTATTTTTTTTGATAAAGATTTTAAAAACTTTTTTTTGATTGTGAGCAATTGGAATCAATTGAGGACAACTTTGAATACAAAACTGTAGAAAAGACAAAAGGAAACCATGTCCTTATTTTTTTTTTTCTTCAGAAGATAGAGCAGTTTGCAGATGATAAAGAAATGGAATGTGTAAAGAGCAATGAACACTAACATTATGAATGGACATGGCATTAAGAAAAGGATTTTGAAAAATCATCTGTATCAACTTTGTCAATCCCACTTGTAACCCCATCTGTGCAAATACTGTACTGTACTGATGCGGCATTCACCCTGGGCGGATTGAGCCGGCTTCTTCCTGTTATGAGAAGAAGATTCTTGGGATAAATTACAGAAGTAGGGTACCCAGGCCTACTCGGATAACGTCCTTGCTTGCCACGGGGTTCCCACAGACGCAGAGACAGGAACGACCAGAAGCCGCCGGTTACCGATGCAGACGCTCCTTGGATTTTCACCAGAGCCCTTGTTAGCTGGCGTGTGTGTCAGACCTGTCCGCCTTGGGTGGCCCTACCAGGAACGAAGTTCCGGGCGGCATAGCTCTGACACTACCGTTTACACCCCCACCGACTGTGAGGTAAGGGTTGGACTTTGGGGCTTACAGTACCAGGTGTTCCCAAGCGGTCCCCCTATCTAAGTACTGACCTGGCTCTACGATGCTTAACTTCGGTGATCGAACGAGAACCTGTGTTTTCAGCGTGATTTGACCGTAAGCAAATGTGTGCAAATCTACCAGGTTGAGTCCATTTTTTTCCATATAGCATATAAACATCAACTGTTTATTTTACAGTTTTAGAGCTCTGGTGAGTGGTGAAAAAAATTGCAATTAGAGTCATTTTACATTACATGTTGCAAAAAAAGAATGTGTGCAAGGGAAGCAGTAAAAGAAATTAATGGTGTGGAAGGCCCATGAACTGTCAATAAAAGCCTGGCACAAAACTGGTTTAGACATTTCAAGGAAGGTAACACCATCCTCGAAGACAAACCAACGTCAGGGAGACCTTGTTATAGATGTTGCTTTGCTTGAAATGGTTGAAAAACAGACAAGCACAAACACTCATACATTGTCAACAGAACTTAGTCCTTCACTAAGCACTATCAGTCAAGACATCCACAAGCTTTGCCTTGTGAATAGACTGTTGAGAAGTTCCTCACAAATTAACCAATGACCAGGCTCAGCATGTGAACATTTGCAAACAACTACTTATGATTCTTGTTTTTGGTGTTGAATTGTAACTCGGGCTGAAAAATAGATGTATATTTGTAATCCTAATAAGAAAAATCAGTGGCTTCGTTTCAGTCAATCTTTCAAACCTAAACAAGAGCAATTTGAACAGGTCATGTGTGTTTGGTAGAATTTCAAGGAGGTATTGCACTTTGTGCTTGTCCCAGATAGTCATACTGTGAACACTGACTGACCTTTATGCTCAACAACTGTAGTGAGGATATGATACTTTGAAAGCCTGCAATCTGGACTTGGTCAATCGAACTCCTACAGTATGACAATGCTCCAGCACACACTGCCAATATAACCAAGTGTAAAGTTGAGGGGCTGAAAGTGCTGCCTCAACCTGCCTACAGTCTAGACCAGTGGATCTCAACCTTTTTTACCCATGGACCCCTTTCCCCTTCTTTTTATCTTGGTGGACCCCTTCATAGCTATTGGACATAAGAACAATTTTCTATTCTTCACTAATATAAATTTTTTTTAATTATCAAAGTTCATCCGGATACATTAAGCTTTATTTTTAAATGAAAACTAATTTAATACAAATAAAATATTCTACTATAATTATAATAATAATTGTTATTACTATTTTTAATTAACACAACAATTGAGTTTTGCCTGTTAATCCCAAAAATTTAAATGGAAACCTAGGGTCCATGTAGAATTTTTTGAGAACCACTGGTCTAGACGTTGCAATCAGATTACCACTATTTCCAAGCCATGGCTTATTGCCTGTGCAGATGGAGGCTCAACAATGTGGATGAGATTGAAACCAGCCAAAAGGTATAAGTGGAATTGAGCTTCTGGCACGATGATGAATAAAAGTTTTTTGTATGTAATTTGATTGAACTATTAATTAAAGCATAAGTATAAAAAAAAAAAAAAATTGATTCAACATAATATAGGGTTTGCTATACTAAGTTTTCATTCACAGGGGAAATATAAAACAAGGCATTGATATGATTCAATCTATAGATTGAACTCCTGAGATTAACAGAGATCTGCAGAACAGGTTTACTGGTATGTTAACCATTTCTTTTCACTCTCCATTTTCATGAGGTATTTGCTTATTTTAGCCTAGCTCAGTACAAGGTTTCAAGTGTGGAGTACTGAGTGTAGGACACACTTTAAACTAGAAGTCATCTGCAGGACTAGTGAGCTAGCAATTACTTTTTGTTCAGCATCTGTATTAGATATTTACTAACTCTTGTTCATCACAAAGTTACACATGTGGAGTACCGAGTGAAGATGCTCTTAAAACAAGGCAAGAAAAAAAAAAGAACACAATAAAAAATATTTTTTTATTTCTTTTAAGTGACTTCTGAAAATAAAAGATATTCTTTGAGTTTGTGAGGAATCTCAAGTTTTTCGATGTTATCATTAATACTGAACTTCAAGTGTCTTCGAATGCTGATCCGGCACCAAGATTTAAGCGACCGTAGTGGAAACAGCAGGGATTTGATCCAGGGAACAATTTGATTGTAGCTGCTGCATTTCTGCATCTGAAATTGTGGAAAAAAATATGAGAGAAAGAAAAATGATAACAAAAGCAGTTTTTTAAAAATGTAAAAAAAAAATAAATAAAATAAAGTATGATTCATCCTTGAATTCCAAGTTGGAGAAATTAACCAGACTTAACGTGTCTAAAATTCAAGATAAAGCTTTGTAATGACAGGATTTCCTCTACTGAACAGGATAAATTCCTGAGCAGACATTTGTATGTATAAAAACTAGATCAAAATTGGAGTATTGCTGCCATATTTTGTCTGGAGTTGCCTAATCCTCTCTTTCCATTCTTGACAGTTCAAAAGTATTTGTAAGGCCTTGTGGGTGATGAACTGTTTTTCCGCTCTACAACCCCTTTCCACTAGATGAAATATTGCTAGCCTCTCACTATTCTATCATTATTTTCATGTTCTGTGCTTAAATTCAAAGTGTCTTAGAACCAAAATGAAGAGCTGATCTGGATAATTACAATAAAAGTATTTATAGAAAAGATACAGGAAGGTGGGAAAGAGACTGAAGCTGAGATGCCATACCCTAAATCCATCATAAAAATGTGGAATAAACCTTGCTGTAGGGATTAGGTATAACAAGTTTAGTATTGAAGTACACATGGCACAGTGGATAAAGGCATTGGTTAGATCCAGTGACAGGACCCAAAGAGTGTGAGTTCAATACCCGGTTAAGGCAGTGGAGAACTTTCAGAGGGAAATTAACAGGAGATAACTGATAACTGACATCCATTAAACATGACACGTGGAACTAGAACAGTCTACCCAGTGATAAAAAAAGGGTTCAGTTTGACATTCTAACCACCTGAAGAAGGCGGAACATACAACAGCCGAAAAATTGTAATAAATATAGCAACAAAGATGAGGACAATAGTCTGAATAATGTAAATAATGTACATAATACCTCATCTCAGAAATATATATATATATATATATATATATACATGAATAAAATAGACAATCAGAAAATAGTACTTAGCTCTTGCTGATGCTTTTCATTATTTGATATTATCAAGGCAAGTTATGATAAAAAAAAAACAAAAAAAAACACTTAGTCCACACCAAAAAAAAGAAAGAAAAATTAAAGGAATATCCACAAAGAAGCGTACACAAGATCGTCTTTTTAAAATTTTTGTATTTCATGTAACTACACAACATTTCACTTTTGTTTATCATCACTTGCCTTGATAAATTCAAATGCCAAACATGTCAGCAAGGACTAAGTACTAAGTACTATTTTCTGAATGTCTATTTTATTCAATTTGTTTTCTCTAAAGATTTATTCTGAGAACTTTGACACACACACATATATATATATATAATATTCAGATTTTTGTGTTTACTATATTTTAACCTGGTATGTAGAACCTTGTAGAAACAACATCAGTATTACAAAGAAGAGAGTCAACTGTCTGAACAAATCTTGAAATGATGACATCTCAAAATTACTGCAGTTAATCTTCCATATAGATTACATATCAAAAAGAAGGCTGTAGAACAGATTGGCCAAAATTTAATAACAGCAATACAAAGAATTCAAATATCCAAACTAATTTTGATATGATATTGACTTTTTCAAAACTGCAGGAGGATTACTCTGTATTGAAGGCAGTAAAATAAGCCAAAATGTTATGATAACAGCATCAGAATTCAAGTGTTAGAACTTGTTTTGAATGATAATGACTCTTGTTAGACTTAAAGACAATAGCTATAAATGTCTCTCTCAAGCCCTGTACACACAGAGTATAGGGGTCACAGATTTCAACATGCTTGGTGTTGCTACTGTGGTTTTCATAGCAAGTAGGTTTCTCATTCCATGCTCAACCTATTTTTAATTCAGAGTTATCCTTCTTATAGACGGATTGGCTACCAACATTAAAGAGCCCAGTCAGATCTACTATTTAACTCATAGCTGATGTGGGGGAGAGAGAAGAAATGGATTTATGATTGATTGATTTGTCTGTTTAACTGCATATCAACTCCTTATGGGTCATTTAATGCTGAAATTTAATTTTCTTGGGAGCTTAGAAGTAATAAAATCATGAGATGTTATTCTACTTTCACAACTGAATACATGGTAGATGATACTCAGCTTTTATGCATATACAGTGCTGTTCGATAAAAGTGACTCACCTGTTTTTTTTTACTAAAAATATTTTTTGTCTATTGTTTTTGGGGTCAAAATAATTTTTAAACTTACTAATATAAAGACCCCTTCCTGACCATCTAGGAAAAAAGTTTATTCACCCTAAGATATTCTATTGATAATTATAAATTTGGATATAAATGAGATTCAGGAAAAAACTGTGCAAAAAAAGTGACTCACTTATTTCCTGCAACTAGTAATCAATAGAAACATAACCAAACAGCTTTAAATAAAGAATAATAGAGGTATAATTTATTTATAATAGGCAATATAGTTTGAAATATTTAACAATCTATGGGTCCTCCTTTATTTTGAATAACCTTTTCAACCCTTTTTAGCATTGACTTGATTAGGTTCTGGCAAATCTCATCTCCAAGCATTGAATTCCTTTCGGATATGAAATTCGCAATCAAATCCTCTTTGTTGCTCAACTGCTTTCTCGAGAGCCTGTACTTTATAATGCTCCATAATTTTTCTATGGGGTTGAGGTCAGGAGATTGGGGTGGCCATGTCATAACACTCACCTGCTTCTCATCAAAGTATTCCTTCATCAATTTTGATTTGTGACAGGGAGCATTAACCTGCATAAAAATGAGCTTGATGGGGTCGATTTGCACTCTTTCAGCAGAAGGGAGCAGACAAAACTCTAAAATTCTCTTGTACTGCTCGCTCCTGAGGGTCTTTTCAATAGGTTTTAAGAAACCAGTTCCATGAAAAGAAAAGCATCCCCAGAATATTATACTGAACGGATGCTTGACAGTACTTACTGCTAAATTCAAAGAGCTTTCAAAGCTTCTTCTTTGGATTTTAGATCGCTTATCCATTGAATTTAGCTCAACTTTCGTTTCATCAAACAATAGGTGAAAAAATTTTTAAGTAAAAAAAAACTTTTATCGAACAGTACTGTATATGTTTGTGTGGACATAATTACTAGAGTTGGTGATGTGTGCTTTATGTTGTGGTTTTGTTGAAGTTATATTTTGGAATACAGTTTGATTTAAGAAACTTTATATTGCTTAATGTCATGAAAGTTTTTTATGTTGGTGGCTTGGTAGTATTTTAAACAGATTTGTGTGAAGTCAATATAATTTGTTAGTATGTGCAAGTTGTTGCTAATTTTACTATAAATATGTATTGTTGGTAATTTTTAATATAAAAATGTTCTGCTAGTATTTTTACTATAAAAATGTATTTTCATACTGTTTTGTTTGAAGTTTCACTATTTGTCCATAGCTGGGACCCTAATAGGTGCTACCACCCCAGGGCTGGGAATGAACAACTGCAATTAAGAGGTGGTTCTATGATCACCAAAACCTCCAATCTTCCAGTCAAAGACCTTGCTGCCAGATGTAGTTTATCATCATACCTTTCCCCAATATATTTGAGAAAAAGTGAAGGTAATGAACTTAACTGGAAATTGAATTTGGCTCAATGATTTCTTTTTCCAAGTCACTAACCCTTACACAACACATTCATCTGTAATTGTAAATATACAATAAGCTTTAGTATTATTTTTAACCTCTAATAAATCAACACAGAAAATCAGGTAGTTGACAATTTTGTTATCAGCCTTAATTTCTCAAAGTAAGTTTTTTTTTTTTTTTAATCATTTCACCTTTAGCAAGACAATAAAGCCACTAAGACACAAGGAGTTATGGAGAATATGAGAAAAAGAAAACATTCAGAAATTGTTAAAATATTATTAAAAAACATTATTAGAAAATTGTTGACCAATAATAGCAGAGATAAGATTTGAACAATTAATACAAATCAGTGGAATAACTTGCTTCAAACTGTCAATCATTTATTGTAATTATGATGGGTTGATGTCATATATTTAAAATTTGTTTGTTGAACTGATTTAATTTATTGAGTATACAGATCATAAAAGAAATTATTTTAGTTTTCTGAAACAGTAGGAAAGTTTTTTATTTGAGAAGTAAAATGATGAACAAGTTGTTTAAGAAAATCATCATATGATGGGTAAGATCTAATAAAGACATACTTCACAACTTTCATTCATTCTCATTTTTACATGTATGATACAACAAATTACTGACTTTAATAATGATTGTTTTTGAACACAGTATATAGAAAGAATCAGCCAAAATGTTATTGCAGCAACTCACTGAAGTTCCATTGACTCCACTGACGATTATAGGACCACAACTCTCAACATGCCAAGTATTGGTGTTGTGGTTTCTGTAGCAAGTAGGCTTTTACAGGATGGAGTTGATAGTCCCATACCTAACCAGTTTGGAATTTCACAGTTGTCCTTCTTTTAGACTGGTTGCCAACCAAAACTGAAGATCCCAGTCTGCTCTACTATTCAACCCATAACTGGAGTTAGAAGAGATGTATTCCTACCATTCCCAAGGGCATTTGTGCAAAAATGAACAGAGTAGCTTGAAATTTGAAACCAGGTTGCAAAGACCATATTCATTGTTGTTATTCATTACACTACTTGCATATCTGCACATACAAATTTAAAAAAAAAAAAAAAAGTTACTAATATCCTTAAGGAGGCTTACACAGGATTGTCTTTTTAAAATGTTTGAATTTCATATAACTAAGCATTTTGCTTTTGTTTATCATCACTTGACTTGATAAATTCAAATGACAAAACACATCGGCAAGGACTAAGTACTATTTTCTGATTATCAATTTTATTGAATTTGTTTTCTCTAAAGATTTATTCTGAGAACTTTAATGCACACACAACACACATTATATATATATATATATATATATATATATATACACACACACACACACATCATATTCAGATTTTTGTGTTTACTATATTTTAACCTTGTATGTAGAACATTGTAGAATAAACATCAGTATTAAAAAGAAAAGGAAAAAAAAATACTTACTTGTCTGAGTTTCATTAGCAGATCATTAACTGTACCTGGAGCTCCATGAAAAGTTGGTGTAAACCCAGCTGCTAAAAGAAACCTCCAAGAACGGAGATCTTTGCTGTAAAAATTAATAACCTCAGGATTTTCCAAGATTGATCGTGAGAGGTTCATTGACACAAGCTCGGTCATTTCTTCAGAAGTTATCTGAGCACCATATGACAAAAGGAGTTTGATTTTTTCCAAAGAGTTGTGAGCAAAAGCAAACTTAAGGGGTTTTTGTTTTCCCCAGCTTCCCCCACGGTTGACATCAGCGCCGAATCTCAACAACAGTTCCACAATATCTGGTTCCACAGATTCAACCATGCATGCACATCCCAAAGCTGTACGTCCATTATCATCAGGCTGATTCACAGACATTCCACATTCTAACAAATCTTTCACAATATCATGATGAGAAAACTGGACTGCAGCTGGTAAGCAAGTTGCTTCCAGTGACAGACTGGAAATTTTGCCAAGAAGACATTTGGCAATATGTACTGCTGGCACTATCATTGAATCAGATATGTTCTTATGACAATGTGAGGAGAACCAATAATTGGCATTCTTGCAAGCAATCTTCATTGCAGAATTTCCACTTGGTGTAATCACATCAGGTTTACATCCTTCTGAAAGAAGCACGCGTGCATATTCAAGATTATCATTCTCACAGGCAAGAATCAGTGGTGTTTGGTCATATTTATCCTTGGCATTGATGTCTGCACCATTTGTTAAAAGAAGTTGTAATATCGCAAAACTTGAGGGAGTTTCAGAGCTGGCTTCACACACAAGATGTAATGGCGTTTTGCCATCCTTGCCAGATGAATTGACATCAGCACCAGATTTTAATAAATTGCTCACTGCAGTTTCATCAAAGTCCAGGCAAGCTTGACACAATGGACTTCGACCCACTTTGTCTTCTTCAGTATTGCTGTTTCTTGTTTCATGGATATACATTTCCATATCCATGAAATTCTCTACTGTAATAAATTCCATAACTACTTGGATAATAAATCCTTCTTAAAGTTGTAAACTCTATAAAAGTCTTTGAAACATCCCTGAAAGAAGAAAAGTACATTTCACATGAATTTGTTCAAATTAAGTGTTTATTTAAAAAATATTTTTTAACAAATTAAAAATTCAAAAGAAAAAAAAAATTATTTACTAAATTGTTAATTTAATTTGAAAATTTATATATACTGGTTCATAATGTGAGATACAGTTCCTGTAAGGTAAATACATTACTTATGATTTTACTGTAGAAAGGCATTGAAAATTAAGAAAAATATTGTTAGTAGTTAGGATTTGAAGCAATCATTACTGACAGGATTATATGTATAATTACACACACACAGACACATATGTATATAAGATTAATACAAATATAAAATTTGTCACTTAGTTGATTGATGTCATATTCATCACTGCCAACACTCACCTCTTTTATGTGTTTTCCCCAAGCCAGAAAATTAGCATCTTGCAAATGCTGCCAGCCTCAGTGACGCATGTGCTGTGTCATTCCAGCACTGATGTTCGTATGATTTGCCTCACTCACAATTTGCTATTTTTATGTGCAAATTTAGGCTATGCCACTCAGGCCATCTTGAACCTCTGTGGTAATTCTCCAGCACAGATACCGATGTGCCTAAATTCCAGAGGTTAATGGCACAGCCGAGCAATGTTACTGCATCATTAAAAGAATTGCAGCCAGAACACAGTGCTTCCTTCAGACTGTCGACTGCACCAGTCAATGGAATTTACCAATATGAACAGCACGTGAAAGGGATAGATGCATCACTAACATCTAACAGTGTAAATAAGCAGTATCAAGTGGGAGATGGTGTCTAGGTCAAGGTCCTGCACAGCCGATGTACCAGCAGATTTGGTAAAGGGCGAGTCAATGGGATAGCCCCTAAACAGTATTGGTTAACAGAATGCTGCGCCATGTGAAAGATCTAATCAGGCCTGCCCCACCCTGGTACATGCCAACCCTGCCTCAGATTTGTGTCCTTGTACTAGAAGAAGCTTAGTTTAACTATCCAAATAAGATATTTAGGATTTTATTTCTCAAAAATTTAATTTACTAACTTATATATTTGAAAATGTGTTAATTGAAGAGTATAAAATTTTTAACTGATTGCGTGACCAAATATTTTGACAGTTCACTTTCAAATCATAAGACCTGGGTTAGGATTGGTTAGCTGCCTAAGTATGTGTTCGGAAACAAATAGCCAGACATTATCTTCAATCAAACTATATAATAATTATCAATGTGCATTTTATATAGTTACTGTCCCATCTGTATTGAGAAGGGAGATAAATCAACTAAAGTTAGTAAATTTTACGAGTGATTACTTCCCTTAGTTACTATACAAATAAAATATCTGCATTTAGACAAAAATAGTTCCTGAGCAAAATGAACCGTTTAATTAATCAGTTTCTTTACTCCTAAGTTTCTTATGTTACAGTCATATTCGTTCAAGCTTTTCATGTGAGGCACTCAAATACTTTTGTCTATTAAGTAATCATATTGCTTCAACTTGGTTTTGAAATAGGCTTTGTCAGCACCATCTTTGTTGTTTTGATGCTAATTTTTTTTTCTTCCAAGAGATATTTCCATTTCATTTTTATATTAAAACACATAAAATTTTTAATATGAAAAGATATTGAGCAAAAAGCAATTTATATAATACCAGGAGTAATCAATGAATCATAGATACCATTGAATGTCTAAAAGATATAAAGGGAATGGATTAATTAAATGTTTTTTTAGACTAGTCATGAATTCTTTATTATTTCCACTTTATTGAATTCCAATGCATTATTTCAAGGCATTTTACTAAAACTTTCTAATAATTGCCATCATTTTTTGATGGCATAGATATGTTATGTTGAATTTCTAGTAATTAAATGCTTAAAAGTTGAAATTTTGCAGATTAATAATTTCATATATGTTTTAAATCTGTGTAAAATTTATCTTTCGCCATAAATTATGAAATTTTATTTTTTTTACAATTTGCTCATTTTACTAAATTGCAATTTAAGAAAAATCTTTAAAAATCTCTTAATTTATATAGATTTTTTTGATTGACTGATTTTGTTTTATATGACTTATCAACCATGTGCAGGTTATTTAAAGCTAGGAAATATCTTTCCATTGTAAGAATTTTTTGGAGATAATGATTTACTAATACCAGTCCTACTAATTAACCCATAGCTTAGGGGAGAAGTGAATTCATACCTTTCCCAAGGGTATTTGTATTTAAGTGAATATAATGAACAGGACTTGGACCTTGACTGATTCTCAATCCCAAGCTTTCATCCATTACAGCACCTGCACATCCAAGCTTACACCACTTGGCATTCACAAGTGGCCAGCCATGATGCTAACCAGGCTAGATGTTGCTTAACTTCAGTGATGATATTCAACGTGATATAGCCATAAGCCTTCTAAAGATTGTCTTTACAAAAAAAAAAAAAAAAAAAAAAAAAAAATAGAAGAAAAGTATGATCACAATAAATAAATAAATAATAATATTTTGAAAGTTGTATAAATCGGTGAAGCATAAAAATAAATCTATCAATAACATTCACTTTGACCTGGCTTCTGCCGGGAAAATTAAAATTGTTAGCAGCTCAAGCCTCGGTAGGGCCATCCCCTCTAGACAGTATCTCCTTCGGGAGCGGGCTGGGGTCATTACCCAGTGCCTGAAGCGTCCCCGAAAAGAGAAGTGCGGATGGGCTGGAGACATTTTCCCATGGTATTTTTGGACGCCTCGGGTTTTACTGAATTTGACTCTTCGTGTGCAATGGGAAAAGGTGTACTTGTAAAATGTTGTAAATGAACCTGTGACGTCAACCAACACCGCCTATCTCGGTGGTGTAGCGACTTTTACTTCCCTTGTATAATAGTTCACTTCTGTCAAGGAAAGTTGAAAATAAAGCTCAAGCCCCAGGGGGACCATCCTCTCCTTTGGCGGGAAGTTTCGGCTCATTACCCAGTGCCTGAGGCGTCCCCCCCCCCAAAAAAAAGGGAAGTGCCGAGGAGACACCAGCAGTTTTTCTACGGTATTGCTGAAGCTCACTTTGATTTTATGATTCTTAACATTCGGTTGCGATGGGAGCGCACTGAAAATACACCTAGAAAAAAAACATTTAACAAACTAGTACTGAGTAGCAGTTTTTGTAATAAAATCTTTAAACACAAACAACACATTTGTGTTGTTTGATACAACAAACATATCTAACAGGCAAACGTGTCAATTTAATTTGTTTTTTTTATTGAAGTGTCCTTTTTTAATTTAACAAACTATACAATAAATTTAACTTTTTCCAAGAGGCTGGAAAATGTACACAAGACAGGTTTTTTTATTTTTATTATTTTATTCGTTTTTTTTTTTCTTTTTAAGTTTTTTTTTTTTTTTACTCTGACTACTAAACAACTAATTTGAAAAAAGTGAAGTGTTATTTTGGGATTTTTTTTTTTAAAAATCTAATTTGGAAGAATGAACTACTAAAAAAAAAAAAAAACTAAGTCAAAGTCTTCTAACACAGTTTTAGTTTTTTTTAAAAAGTGTTTTTTTATAAAATCAATTAATAATAGAATAATAGATTAAATTTTTATTTGTAAGTTTAAAAAATTTATAAACTCATCCGAACTCATACCACACACACGAGTGAGAGCAAATAAGAATTTAAAAGAAAAAAAAAAAATCAAGAGCGAAGATACAATATGAATAAAAAAAAATTAATCTTCTTTCAGCAAATTCCTATTCCTCCTCTTAAATATCGAAGAAGAAAAATAATGTACCTTACTACAGGTGCCTTTTTTTCACTTTTCAGTAAATAATTTTTTTTTTGAAAGAAGAACTACCCAACTTCATTAAAAATATATATAAGAACTCCACGGCAGCTTAATTTTAGCTTTTTTTTTTTTTTTTAAAGAGAAAAAAAAAATTTTGTCTGGATCTCCCTATTTTAAACAATTTTTTTAAATAAAAAAAAAAAAAAAAAAAAAAAAAAAAAAACTTCGCTTAAGTTAACTTACTCGACAATATTGAGTTGACTATAAGAATTTTTTTTTTTTAATTTCAGAATTAAAATATTTTAAAAAGCGCCTTTTCTTAAATAAATATTCAATAAATGTTGCAAATTCAAAAAAAAAAAAAAAAAAAAAAGAACGACCATCGGATAATTTTAAATTTATTACTATTTATTTTTTATTATTTTTATCTTAACTTAAAAATATAAAAACCATAGCAAGACATTCACGATGGGTTTTATTTTTTTTATAAAACATTAAAAACAAGATTCAGTTTTTAGACAATCCATAAACATCCATCGGCAATTCGATCAACAAAACAAAGTTTTAAAACCTTTGTTCAGTGTTGATCGGTGGACCTTGAATTATCATTTTAAAAATTGTCATTTTTTTTTTTTTAAATCCTGTATTTTACTTTTTAAATAAGAGGCAACAAAGTAAAAATAATATAAAGCATTTATAATTGTTTTTTTTTTTTGTTTTTGTTTTTTTATGTACTTAGTTTACTTCTTAGCCGGTTTCAAACTTTTTAGCGTAATTTAATTTTTTCATGTCTGTAAATTTTAGAAACTTAAATCCAAGTGAATTTTTTTCCAATAACTAAAAAGACATCAAAAGTACAAATTGAGTGAAAACGTTACTGAAATTCTTTTAAAATTTAACCAATAAATAAATAAAATTAAAAAGCTTTTTTTGTTTGTGGCAAATTGAAACAGATGCCATTTTTTAATCAACATCTCGTAGAATTTGTAAATGCTTGTATTTAAAAAAAAATTCTTTCCAATTTATTGCATTTCTTCATTAATAATCAAAAAAGAAATAATGTTAATAATAATAATAACAACAATACAATTTTTAAAGAGTTTTTTTTTGTTATTCTAAGAACAAATAAACTGTTTTTTTTTGTTGTTTTTTTAAAAAAAGTTGTTTTTTTTGTTATGAAACGTTTTAAAATATTGCAAACATTAAGATAAGAATGATTTTTATGGCGAAATTTTATTTTTAGCTCGATATATAAGACTTTAAAATAAATTCCTCTATTTAACGATTTGTTCTAAAACATTGATCGACATTAAAAGGGGTGGAATCCAATCCAATGTTCTTGCTTTTTTTTACACACCAAAAAAAAAAAAAAAAACAACAAAAACTCAGATGTTCACTGAAAAGCACAAAACATCGTTTTAAAAACGAGCAACGAGTGATTGAAATTGAAACCAAGTGAAAAATGTTTTTTTTTTTTTATAGAATAAACTTCTACTTAGCAATCTCAACTAATTCAAAGCAAAAAACACATTCGCACCTTGTTTGTAAAAAAAATATTTACTGAAACAAAAACCACCATTCCACTATAAAAAAAATAATAGAAGCTGCATTATTATTGTTTACAGTAGCATAAATAAAAAAATAGTCACCTGTGATTTTACAATGCTAAACAGATGATACTTGAAAGCAAGAAAGAATAAGAAAAATAAATATCAACAAGCTTTTTCTCAAGTTAAAAATACAAATTTATACAAGAATGTGCATAAAAGTTACGAGTTTTGTTTTTTTGAAACATTTAAAAACAGGAATCTTAAGTTATCTTTTTTTTTTTTATTCATCTATTTTATTTATCATTCATTTATTTTAGTTATAGATTTTATTAAAATGGAAATTACAGTTGTTGAAAATATGCTGCATTTATTATTGAATGAACTTGAACACGATATTTTTTTCACTTAGATGATCACCAACTGGATTGGAAGTAAAAAAAAAAAGTGATGTCATGCCATACACAGAAGAAATTAAATTTGGTATACAGACTGCTAAAAATTAAGCAAAAACAAAAGGTTTTATAAACCCGTGAGTAAAAAAAAGTGGATTAAGGAAGAAAGAGAAGAAAAAAATGATTCGTTTTTCGTTTTTAAAATAAAATAAAAGCAAGACAATGTTTTCAAACATGTTTTAAATTTTGATTGAAAAAAAAAAAAAAAATAACTCACCTTTAAAGTTAACTGATGCGATATGAATTTGACAAATTCCTGAGATTATTGTAAATATTTTTAAACCTTCATAAACTCGTCATTGTAGTTAAAAAGTTAGTAGGTTGAAAAACAAAACAAAAATCAAATGATTCAAAGTTCAAACAAAGCAAAGTTTTTTTTTTCGATAATGTATTTTAAAGATATTAAAAATATTTTGTAACATCATTTAACCTATAAATTGTAGATTTTTTTGCAGTACAATTGTACTGAGAGAGTGAAAAAACATCAACTCATTTTCCTTTTCCCTTTCTTCAAAACAAAATTAAATCGGTCGGCAAAGAAAGATAAAAAAACAAAACAACTGAAGTCGTTGTCAGAGGTCGTAACTAAGTGGTTTGTTAGCCGCAACACAAGCACACGTAATTGGTTAAAAAATAAAGAGTAACTTTTAAAATAAATAACATCAGCGGATGCAAGACACGTTCATATCATGCTTTTCCCATGTGCCGAAATCATGTGGATCTGCCTTTTTATAGTAAGTAAATAAATTACTGCTAGATTTGTCGAAGACTGATTTTTAAGCAGCAACTTCCTTCACAGCACACCATGGTTCATAACTTATTTATTTAAATTTTTAAGGCAAATGAAATTCAAGTCGTTTCCTTTTTTTTTTTTTGTATTTTTGTAGTCATTGCAATTTAAATTTATTTTTTATTTTAACATTAAATCGTTCTTGAAACCTGGTATTTGTTGAGTGTTTGCAATGTAATTGTAAAATAAACTTTACTACATGATAGCAGTTTTAGCACATGATGAGTGTTTGCACTTGGCTCAGTGGTTAGAACAGTGACCTGACGATTCATGAGAATTGTTTCGTAAAGAAAGAGGTATTCTACTTTTTCGCTAAAAAACAGCATGATGAAAAAAGGCACCAAACTTAATATAAACAAAGTTTTATCGTCAAAATCTTTGTTATTATTAAGGGGAAAGACCAAAGCATTTTTTCATTGTTTTTTAAAAAATTTTTATGCCTTTCTAACACGTTCGAAATTTGGATTAAAAATCTCGTGTATCAACGATGTAACAGAGCTGGTAATGGACGTTTTCGCGCCTGTTTTCTGTTAAAATGACACATTAATTTGGAAAGTATTGCAAAAATCAAATAATTGTCGGATTTTAATGAAACTTTCAGGACTTATTCACAAATGAATGTTTTTTTTTTAATTATTATTTTTAGAAAATCTTGGTAAAAATTATTTTTTTTTATATCTGTTAATCCCCACTCATTTAAATTTTCTAGAATTTAAAATCGTCAACGAAATGTTTTTATTAGATAAAAGCAGGACTTCTTGGAGAATGTAAAATAAATCATCAATTTTTTTCAAACTCTTACCACGATTCCTAAAATCTGCTCCAAATCGTAAAATAAAAACTACAATAAAACTTTCTAATTATTTAATTAGATAAGCTTTTAACTGCTTTTATAAAAATATATTAAGGACATTCGTCTGAAGAAAAAAAATTGTTTGATGAATAATTAATTTTTACAAGTATTGTTTGTATTTTTCTTTTTAATTTATAAGGTTGTTGGAATTTAATTTGAGAACAACAATTTCACATTCTCGTTATATTTTCTAATTTTAAAACTGGCTCCCAAGGCCTTGATTCTTATCAGAGATAAGAATATATTTTCTGACTAAGGAGAGAGCTGGAAAATAAAAAGGAATTCCACCACCATTATTCTTTCCATGGTGCCATAAAGTCTGGGAGAAACCTCACAGCTTCTTCACTTCAACCTGTTTTCAGTACCTTCGAAACAGGCTCCCAGGGCCCTGATTCTTCAGAGATAAGAATGTGTTTTCTGACCAATAGATGGGCCAGGAAATTTGTACAACGATTTTGGAGGAAAAAGTCCCCGATCCATCGGAGCCTCCCAAAACTCCATAAATTTGGAGAACCTTGCTTATTTTGCCAGTGAGAAATCTGCCCACGATCTGTGAGGTCGACAATTTAGGGAGCTCCAGAACCTCTTTCACCAAAGAACTACTACTAAAGGGCTGGCAAGAACGAACATCGGTCCACTATTCAAGACCAATCCAAAGTTGCATCCCTTCACCACTTCTTCTGACGAGCCCACTGGACTTCTGTCGTCGACCTACGAACTCACTCAAATTGCAGGATTCCTTCATCTGCGAACAATTTTACCACTCGACAAGAACTGTGAGCGTTTCTATCAGAACCTTAACAATAAGATTCTTAAATCGCTTAAAGAACTCTTTAGGCGCTCAGAGAAATATTTTGAGCAAGCCTTTTTTTAAGTTAAGAACATTTTCTCTTTTCCCCTTTCTTTCTCTCCTAATTGTCCTTTTCCCTTTACCTTTTTTTTTCTGTATATGTTGTAAATAAACACTTTCTTCTTTTGTTGTTACTCACCGAGCAGGAGTTTTTTCTTTATTCGTACGCGCCTAAAAGAGAGAGTTTGTCCGCTTTAATCTTGCCGTTTTACTCGCGTTTTGTCGCAATTTCTAAACTTCAACCCTATTTTTAACCTCAACCCTTTGATGCGGGAAAGCCGCGACAAATTTCCTAGCAAGGTTTTAAAAATGTTTTTAAAATTCTTCCAAACATCGTCAAAGTTAGGTTAAGTTATTAAGTGAAAAAGTTAAACTATAAGTGAAAATTGAAAAAAATAATACAAATCATCGCACCAAAAATTTCGAAAATTTTAAAAAGTTTTTGCGTGTCTAAATGTTTTATTTTTTTTAAGTATAGTGTTTCATACGTGACATTATCGCTAAAAAAGGTCACCTGTTTCAAGGGTTGTCTCCCTTACGGATAAACATTTTTTTCATTTCACTTACGAGGACGGTTAAAGAGACAAACAGTCCTTTTCAGGGCCACAAAATATTCCGAAAAGTCTTATAACTGTTATGAATAGTAGCAATTTTTTTAAGGTGTTGGACTATGGTTAAATGAAATAAGTGTACAATTATCTAAGTAATGATAAAATTTATGTATTTTAAAGAATTAATTAATAAAATAACTTTTTCATAACCATCAGGATATTACAATTAATAATAAAGAATAAAATGAAAAAAATAAGATCTTTAAAAATATAAATTAATAATAAATACCATAAAATTTTAAATTATTGAGTTACCGCTGTCATTGCATTTTTTATTATCTCAGTTATTGAATTAAAAATGTAATAACTGATAATATAATAATAAATTTATTCAGTTATTAAATTAAATTATCATATTATCTCAGTTATTAAATTTTAATTTAATAACTGAGATAATTAATAAAATACTATTATAGAGGTAACCCAATAATTTATGAAATGTTATGTTATTAATTTAAGAAATTTTTATTTTTAGTATTTCAAATTCATTGTTTTCAGAAAGCATATTCAAACGTAAGGTTATGTACCTAAAAATTCAATAAAATATTAGGTAATTGCTTAAAATATTTTGTTATTTTTTAAAAATTACCTGGTAGTTAAAAACAAAAACAAATCGTTTTTACTTAGAATTCGTAAATTTGTCTATTCTGGTCCACCATACTTTGCCTGTTAACACGGTAAACCGTCAATATATCGATGGAGACGTGAGAATAACAAGACCTCATGGTTAAGAAATGCTTGTATACATCTTTTATAGCTCAGAGAATCTGATACTCATATGGCGGACAGAGGGAAAAAGAGACAAGGGAAAGCAACGCGTGATATACCTAGCGGGCTTAAGCAAGTGAATGACAGAACAGGGTTTGGGGGAAGTAGCAAAAGGACAAAACATATTGAGAACTACAAAGGATAAGGAGAACTGGAGAGCCATGATCGCCTACGTCCTGAAGGGACACGGTACATAAAAGAAGAAGGACATAGTGCCGGGGGAAATGGCGTGCCGAGGTCTTAGTTCGGGAGTTGGATGCAAGAGCTCTACTCGTCACCCCTTCCACAACCAGAGGTCAACAGACGGGATGGATCAAATACTAATTTTTTTGAAATTCAAATGCAAATACTTCTCGCGATTATTATCTTAATCCAGATTCCCAAAATACAAAAACAAAGACAAATACTTCGGAAACTAGCCAAAAATCTAAATCTAAATGCTTCTTCACACAAATCCTCTGAAGAAGTATTTAAAATATACAATTCAAATACATTTTTATTTGATCCGCTACTACCAACAAGCACTGAGTAATGACAAAACCCGAATTAAAACATGTCAAGACTAGAGCAATTCATTTAATCTATTTGAATTTGTAAAGCCTCGACATACAACCAGGCTTAGTGGTAAAAAGATTGTCAATAACACCATCCACATTTAGATGTCCAAATTCTTTATTTTCGATGCATAATAAAGCCAAATTGCTAAGGTGTTCCTGACTCATTGTGCTTCGGAGATAGTTTTTTTTATTAATTTTAGTTCGTTGAAAGAGCGCTCATAGGATGGCACAAAGACAGCAATAGCCAACAGTATGCGCAATGCTACTTGTAAATTGGGGGACACGTCATCGCCGTAAACTATTGTGAAGTTCTATTGGTTTTTTTTTGGTTTTTTTTTTTTGGTCTTTGTTATTTTTTTTTTGGTCTTTGTTATTTTTTTTTTTTTTTGTTTAACGAAGACACTGTCTTTTCTTTTTTTGTATTAACATTCGGAGGTCTGTGATTTCACAAACGAGTTCTATTCCATCAAAATCACTCTCGTGTGTTGCAGCAGCTACTTTTCATTTTTCTACCGCGTCTTCGTTCGAGACAATGCGGCTTTCAATATCCAAGAGGAATCTAAATTGCTCATCTTATTGATTCAACCGTGTAAATCGATCTTTCGGTTCTGGATTCAACCTGTCCAGTAGTGACTTCAAGGTAACTTCCATTTCTTCTTTCACATTTAAAGGTTCATCTTTCGTCTCCTCTCCAAACATTCTTTTTTTACGACGCACCCTTCTCTGGTGACCAACGCCAATACCCCATTCTAAGCATTTTCCCTCGCCTTTTGTAATTATATTTTTACAGAGAGATTCCCGTTCACTCATAGCTGATTGTAACTGAATGTCAGCTCAAGCTTCACTGAAGTTAATTTTAAGGCATTGAAATCTCTTCTGTACTCGGTCGATGGAAGTCAAGACGTCGTCCCAGAATGGCTGCATTGTTAAAAAGCTAAAAGTTTGCATGTTGTGCATCAAGCAGGTGGTGTCGCTTCTTGTGTCGACTGATACTCAAGTGTCACTTGTCATATCCTCCAACAATTTAGTTATGTTTTCCAACTTCGTTTTTACAAC